CTGAGGTCAGAATGTTACTTAAAGCAGAATTCATTCTGTGAGTCTGCTGTGTGGACTGTTTCTCATGTTGGACATTCCTTCCTTTTTAATTCTATTATTAAACTTGGTGGTAAAAATGTCATCTTAATTGATAAAGTGATCATATTAAGTGTTAAAATGAACATATAGATAAGATTAAGTGTTAAAGAGACCATATAAATAGGATCAAATGCCTGATGGTGATATAATAAGATTTGAAAGTTGAATTTTAAAAATAGATTTATTTATTTTAAAGGCAAAGTTAGAGGGAGAGAGAGCTCGATCGATCTTCCATCTGCTCTTTTATTTTCCAAATGGCCACAATAGCTGGGGCTAGGCCAGCCTGAAACCAGAAGTCAGGAACTTCTTCCAGGTCTCCCACATGGGTGCAGGAGCCCTGGCACCTCCACTTCTTTCTCAGGCACATCAGCAGGGAGCTGGATCTGACGTGGAGCAGCTGGGACTCGAACACACACCCATGTGGAATGCTGGCATTGCAGGTGGTTGCTTAACCCACCAGCCCCTGATGTTAATCTTGATATATGGACTGCAGAATCGATGTTGTATTTGCAGACATGAAAACAATGTAATGTAGAAATCGTTATTTATCATGCTTCAGAGCTCTTGGGTGCCCAGGTACATTATCAATGAACAGTAATATTTTGAAAGGAAACATTTTCTGAGCAGTAGTCTCAACAGTGGGCTTAAAATAATAAACCATGTTGTAAACAGATGTGCTATTATCCAGCCACTGTTCCATTTATAGAACATAGAATATATATAGTGTAATTCTTGAGGTCTCAGGATTTCCAGAAAAATTTGCATTGGTTTCAAATTAAAATCATTAACCCTTAAAATGAGAGTAAGCTTTGAAATCCTGTCTTTTGCTACAAAATATATACAACTGCAAATCATGATACTTAGTGAAATAAGCCAGTCCTCAAAAGACAAATAACATTTTTCCCTGATATATGGTAACTAATAAAGTACAAAAAATGTAATATATATGAACAAAATTGACATTTTGAGAATTGATTGTTTACAGATCTTGTCTATTTTTTTTTAAAGATTTGTTTATTTATTTGAAAGTCAGAATTACACAGAATTACACAGAGAGAGGAGAGGCAGAGAGAGAGAGAGAGAGAGAGAGAGGTCTTGCATCCGATGGTTCAGTCCCCAATTGGCTGCAATGGTCAGAGCTGCGTCAATCTGAAGCCAGAAGCCAGGAACTTCTTCCAGGTCTCCCATGTGGGTGCAGGGGCCCAAGGACTTGGGCCATCTTCTACTGCTTTCCCAGGCCATAACAGAGAGCTGGATGGGAAGTGGAGCAGCTGGGTCTCGAACTGGTACCCATATGGGATGCCGGCTTCAGGCGAGGGTGTTAACGCGCTGTGCCACAGTGCCAGCCTTGTCTCTACTGTTGAGGAACAGGTTTTTTTTTTTTTTTTTTTTCCTTTTTACTATTTGTTGAATTCTTTACTTAGTGGAGCATCAATCTTATGATTATAAAATAAACTGAAAGTATGTTATTGTAAAAATTAAAGAATAAGAAAGGAAGGAAGCTGGAGGGTCAGTGGGAGGGAAGGTAGGAGGAGATGTATCACTATGTTCTTAAGTCTGTATATATGAACTACATGAAATTTGTTCATGTTATATAATAAATAAATAAAAAATTAAAAAAGTAAGCTTGTCCTTTGTTACTTTGAAGCTAGGTATTCACTTCTACTTTATAGCTATGAAAGTCTTCAGTGTCATTATCTTTTTTTGTTTTTTAAAGATTTTATTTATTTGTTTGAGAGGTAGAGTTACAGATAGAGAAAGGTTTTCCATCTGCTGGTTCACTTTGCAAATGGCCACAATGGCTGGAGCTGAGCCAATGCAAAGTCAGGTGCCAGGAGATTCTTCTGGGTCTGCCACATGGTGCAGGGGCCCAAGCGCTTGGGTCATCTTCTACTACTTTTACAGGCCACAGCAGAGAGCTAGTTCAGAAGAGGAACAGCCGGGACTAGAACTGACCCCATATGGGATGCTGGCGCTGCAGGTGGAGGTTAACCTACTGTGCCACAGTGTTGGCCCCTTTTATTATCTTGTGATACAGGTTTTTTTTGCTACATTGAAAATCTGTAGTTTGATGAACCCATCTTTTTCAATTTTGTTAGCTAGATCTTCTGGATAATTTGGTGTTGTCTTCCACATCAGCATTTGACTCTTTGGCATAAAAGACCTAGGTTTTGGCCTGTCATGTCTATTGACATGTCTTCCTCACTAAATTTAGTCATTTATAGATTTTGATATACAGTGAGAGATGTAAGACACCTCTTTTCTCTTGAATACTTGGAGGATGTTTTAAGGTTAATATTTGGCCTGATTTCAATATTGCATCTCAGGGAATACGGAGGCATGAAGAGGAGAGAGGCAGGGATTGACTGATCAGTAGTGCAGGTAGAACATGTGAACATTTATTAGTTAACTTTCCTGTCTTGTATAGCTGTGGTTCATAATACTCCCAAAGATCACTGATCACAGATTGCCACAGCACATATACTAATAAAAACTTTTGCAATATTGCATTACCATATTGAGACACGCAGAAATGAAGTGAACACATATTCCTGGTGCAGTAGACTTGCAGAGTACAGAATTGCCACAAATTTTTAATTTGTAAAAATACAGTATCTACAAAGTACAATAGATTGATGTGCAATAAAAGGAGACACACCTTTAAATGTTAATTTTGTTTTATAAATGTGTTTAATTTTATGAAATTGTTTATACTTTTTTTTTTCTTTTTTTTTTTTTAAACTTTTATTTAATGCATATAAATTTCCAAAGTACGACTTATGGATTACAATGGCTTTCCCCCCATACCGTCCCTCCCACCCACAACCCTCCCCTTTCCCACTCCCTCTCCCCTTCCATTCACATCAAGATTCATTTTCGATTATCTTAATATACAGAAGATCAGCTTAGTATACATTAAGTATGGATTTCAACAGTTTGCTCTCACACAGAAACATAAAGTGAAAAATAATAGATGATTTTTTAAAATGATGATGAAATCAGAGCAGACCTATTGTCATGTTTAATCCCAGTGAGAGTCAAGTTGGGAATTGATAATTTCTTTTCTTTTCTTTTTTTTTTTTTTTTTTTACAGAGGATCAGTTTAGTATGCATTAAGTAAGGATTTCAACAGTTTGCACCCCCATAGAAACACAAAGTGAAATATATTGTTTGAGTACTCGTTATAGCATTAAATCTCAATGTACAGCACATTAAGGATAGAGATCCTACATGAGGAGTAAGTGCACAGTGACTCCTGTTGTTGACTTTACCAATTGACACTCCTGTCTATGGCATCAGTAATCTCCCTATGCTCCAGTCATGAGTTTCCAAGGCTATGGAAGCCCTCTGAGTTCTCCGATTTTATCTTGTTTAGACAAGCTCATAGTCAAAGTGGAGGTTCTCTCCTCCCTTCAGAGAAAGGTACCTCCTTCTTTGATGGCCTGTTCTTTCCACTGGGATCTCACTCGCAGAGATCTTTTGCCAGAGTGTCTTGGCTTTCCATGCCTGAAATACTCTCATGAGCTTTTCAGCCAGCTCCGAATGCCTTTAGGGCTGATTCTGAGGCCAGAGTGCTATTTAGGACATCTGCCATTCTATGAGTCTGCTGAGATTCTCACTTCCCATGTTGGATCACTCTCCCCTTTATTTACTCCATCAGTTATACTTATACAACAAGTTCTAAAGACTTTATGTGTAGTATTTCAACATATTTTGTTTCTCCAAAATGAAAATAATTTGTGAGCCCCAGAGTTTGATATTTCCTTTAGGAGCATTTCTTCCATTACATAAGTTGGAAAAACACTGATCTAGGCTAGTCTCCTGTATTTTACAATTGGAGTCTAGTCGCCTACATTTTACAGTTTACCAAGACTCATGAGTAATACCAGGCATATGAATAGGAAAAGGCTGTGTTTTTTTTTTTGTGTGTGTGTGTGTTTTTAAATGTTTATTTATTTATTTGAAAGGCAGAGTCACAGAGAGGCAGAGGCAGAGAGAAAGAGAGAGAGAGAGAGGAGTCTTCCATCCGTTGGTTCACTCTCCAGATGGCCATAATGGCTGGAGCTTTGCTGATCCAAAGCCAGGAGCCTCTTCCCATTCTCTCATGCAGGTGCAGAGGCCCAAGGACTTGGCCATCTTCTGCTTTCCCAGGCCATAGCAGAGAGCTGGATCAGAAATGGAGCAGCCAGGAGTTGAACCGGTGCCCATATGGGATGCTGGCACTGCAGGCGGCAGCTTTACCCGCTACACCACACTGCCAGCCCCAGAGGCTGTGTTTTTATCCTTATTGTATTTGAAATTATTCTGTACTAATTAATAGTTTTTATCTTATTATACGTAATAGCTTTTTTTCTTTGAGGATATGAAGCTCCCTACCAACGCCAATTCTGGTTGTTCTAATAATGATGCCAAGGAAAACATAATCTTTATTTTAATAATTGTTGCACAGTTTATAATTTACAAATGCTTTGTTTATCTTGATTTTATATTAAATATTTATAGTATAACACTTGGGATAGATTATTTCCATTTTATAGATGAAAGTTTGATGATGGAACTGGTAAACAGATTTACCCAAGGTCACACTGCTAGTTAGGGCAAAAACTGAGATTTGAGTATATTGTTTTCCATTATAATATTCTAAACATACTAAAGTAAATTTGCAGTTTTATGTTATTTATTCTTTTAGATTTTGATATTTATTTGAACATATCCAACTCTGAGTATGTGAATTTTTTTCCCTTTTAGGCATTACATTTGCTGTTAGTATTTTTCTTATAAATTATTTCCATATTGTTATTTCTATTTCATTTGTTAATATAAGAAGCATTGTATTCTTAAATTCTCTTAATCCCTATGTAATCTTTTTATAATATAAGATTTTTTTAATCCAGTGTGTTGTTTGATTTTTATTTTAATAGGTCCTGATTGTTCTTTGAATGTTCCTTCTACTGAATCTTATTGGATTCTCCCAAACGTGAAACCCTTCAATCCTTCTGTAGGTCGGGCTTCACATAAAGCAGTTTTACATGGGAAATTTATGTGGGTGATTGGTGGATATACTTTTAACTACGGTTCTTTTCAAATGGTCTTGAAGTAAGTATTTTCAGATTTTTACAATATATTAAGCTGGACTGTTTTGATGTTTGAATATATGTTTAATTTTGTGACTTCAATTTGTTAAATGGGACTGATTTGGGAATAACTCAATACGTCCATAGTTAATTATATCATTGTACATACAGGTTTGTTTTGTGTTTTTAATAAATTTATCAATGAGAAATATTAACTTCAAATAAAGGTAGGCTATGACTGTTCTGGGCATAATAAACACTGCCACATTTTAGTGTCTCAAAATGAAGTATAATCGTATACATAAAAATACTTTCAGTTTCTTCTGTACATTTTAATTTATATGAACTTTAACTTGATATGTAATTTACAAGCAGTTTTTTGCAGAATAGTACCTATTATAAAACCTATCATTCTTTTACTGTTGCCTCAATAGAGATTGTTCTCTGTATGATTGGGTACTAAGGGGAGCCAAAAGGATGAATGTTTTATCTGATTTCTTATTCAGTTGATGATTGCACTTGTATTTTATGAACTATTCAATAACGGAAAAGGGGAATTAGGATGAATATTTTGATGAATAATGTTGTTTATAGTTATAATATTTCTAATAACTAGTGCAAATCAGTCATCAGCCAGTCAGAACTGGTTCCAGACAGAATACTGTTATGGTGTGTATCCTATAGAATGATCAGATAAGCAGATAAATATAATGGACATAGTTAAAATCAAATTTCAGGTAAATAACAAATTTTTCATATGAGAAAAAGTGCAGTATTTATATTTTTTGTTTTGTTCCAAATATTGCATAGGTCATACTGACATTAAAAATGTTCTTGTTTATCTGAAATTTAGATTTCACTGGGAATTCTCTGTTTTATCAGGCAATTTTATGTGTTGAATATATTAACCCTATTAATTTTGAAACTCTAAGAAATACTAAATATAAGAGGAAATTTCTTTAAAATTATGACTGAAATGACTAGATTTAAACTGCAAAATAAAATTCTTGAAAGAGAAGAGTTTTAGGTAAATATTTAAGTGAAAAATTACAATTTTGTAACATAATATATGATGACTAAAATATAGTAGAAAGAATTGAAAGAGAGTTGATAGGGTTAAAGTGAATTAAGATATGACAAGAACCTGAAGAAATAATGAGATTTTAATGTGGAAACTAGAAAGAATTAACTGTGATTAAAGAAAATGAAGAAACCTGTGAAAACAGAGTTGAACTTGAATTAAACTGTGATCTTTCCAAAGCTGCATTGTGAAAGTAAAGCCAAATTATCAAGTGAAAATCTTAAAAGTTTGTGTTTTGGGAAAATTGAATAGCATATTTGAAATTAAGTGATGAATATTATTCAGTACTCTCTTAAACTTACATATTTTCTATTTGAACCAAATAGTTTAACTTTTTTTGTGTGAAACCTGGTTCCTTTGGTTTCTATGTTATGCAGATTTATAGGCTTATATAGATAAAAGCCAAGAGGTATCAGATTAGAATTAACCTTGTTTTCACAGGTTGGAGAATATTTTTCATCATTCTGAATGTAGTTCAAATGTAGATAAGGATATTTAAATAGCTTTTAGAAGTGATAGTGTCAGTTATAATGATTTATGTTCTATAGCAGAATTTAATTGATGTGTAGATATTAAACTTTTTTTAAAGATTTATTTATTTGAAAGGCAGAGTTACAGAGAGGAGAGGGGGGAAGAGACAGACAGATCTTCTATCTGCTGGTTAACTCCCAATATGGCTGCAACAGCTGGAGCTGTTATATATGTATATACACACATTACATATTCATGATATATCTATACACACATAAGTATACACATACACACATATATATGCAGAGAAAAGAAAAAGAGAGAAGAGGTAAGCAAATCAGGAGTGCCAAAAAGTAGGAAGTTGCAATTACAAATGTAATGGCCAAGGTAGGTTTCATGAGAAAAATGAAAGCTGAGCAAAGTCTAGGAGGAGGTCAGGGTGTCGGCACTACAGTTTTCTGTAGCCACAGAGGAGAGTCAGACAAAAGCCTTAAGGGAGGGGCTGCTTGAAATATTTGGGGAGCAATGAGTAGGCCCATATGAATTGCATGGAATGTGTAATAAGGAAGTATGAAATTGGAGGGCTAATGGAGGAGGTATATAGTTGATGAAGAGTGTTGTAGATTTGTTGGAACTCATGGAAGGGTTTTTAGCGTGTTTTGACAAATGAGGTACTCTATTAAGAGCATTCTAGGGATTGGGAGGAAGAGTAGGAACAGAATTGAGTTAGGATGAGATTATCAAGGGAATGACTTCTAGTCTGAAAAGAAGAACTGAGTCTGAGGTATCCCATCTCTGAGATATTGGAGAGAAGTGAAGAAATCAGTAAAAGAGACAGGAAAGTAGTGGCCAGTGAGATAGAACCAAAAGAGTACAGTGACTTTGAAGGCAAGGAAAACAATATACGAGGATTAAGTCATGATTAACAATGTCAAGTGCTGATGATTAACTAAGTCAAGAGAAATGAAGACTGAAAAGTGGCCATGGGTTTAGTATGAGGAAGCTAACCTTGACAGACAGTTTTTCTGGGTTGGTGGGGTTAAAAGCCCAAGTAGAGTTAGTTTCAGAGAGAATGGAAGGATTGGTCGGGGTGGGACCATAAAGATGTGGGGCAGTAAGGAAATGGGGTGGTAACTTGAAGGGGGAGTGAAGTCAAGGGAAGTTTTCTTTCTTTTAATAAATGAAAGAAATAAAAGTATTTATGCTGATGAAAATTCTGGTAAGACATATAATATAGAAAACGTGGGAGAACTGCTGGGGTAGTATGGGATCTAATGTGTAAGGAACATAAGCAACTCATTTGTAGCAGAGATCAGCAGACTATAGAGGTTAGGCCCAATGCCTGGGGGCTGAGAATGGTTTATTTAATTTTCATTAGGCTAAAAAAAAAAGATGTGAGATCAGTGTGGCCCACATACCTAAAATGTTTACTGTCTGGCCCTTTACAGAAATACTTTGCTGAGCCCTAATTTATGATAATTTGGTGGAAAGCAATGTGTTGGCTGCAGATACTGGTAGGTGGGTAGATTTAGAGGTGCAAATCTGTGGAAGTTATGTCCTCATTGATTATCTTTCCTCATTTGTATTATACATATACATCTTATAACTCCAAGCCAGGAAATAATGCTGAGAACAATTTTGGTTACCCTTATCTTTCTTGTGAAAGGAAACTTTTTGCCTTTCCTGTTGAGTCAGAGGAAGAGAGAAGTAGAGAGATAATAATTGATAGTCAGAGTCTTAACTTAAAATACTACCCTATTTTTGGACTGGGATCATTCTTTTGAGTATTTTGGCAAATTAAAGTTTGAGTGTAGAGTATAGTGAAAACCAGCAAGAATTCTTTTTGTTAAATATTTGAGATTCATAGTTTTGAACTTTTATTTCCTTATGTATTGAACGTAATGTATTGTAATAGAAGTTTCTATGCTAGTGAGTTTATTTTGCACAATTAAAACAAAATTACCAGTAAATAAACTTTAGTTTTAGATAAGAAATATATACTTTGTTAATTTATGTGATGCTAAGTCAAGTGTGTGTGAAGAATAAAAATGAATACCTAAAGTATATGACTTATAGGATGAAATGAATTTTCATTTATTTCCTAAAAGAAAAGCTAGCTTTTTTAAAAAGTATAGAACAGCTTGCTATTGTTTAGGTCAAGAAATTAATTGAAATTATTAAAGGCAATAGATACATTAATATAATAAATGTCCTAGTCAAGTTAATATACATTATACATTTTATTGATTAGATCTTATAGTGGGTATGTCTTCAGTGAGTCTTTATTAAAAGTTTCCAATATGATACATGAAGTTAAGCGTTGATTTATAATTCTTACTGAATTTAATGAATATTTAACTGCAAGTGGAGGAAAGCATATGGAAATCAAAAAATTGAAATGAATCTTAGCTTATGAAGTTATTATCTTTTCTTGCTTTTAGTTACAATTTAGAAAGCAGTATATGGAATGTAGGAACTCTGTCAAGGGGGCCTCTCCAGAGATATGGACATTCTCTTGCTTTATATCAGGTATGGCTCTTGACTTTTAAATTTTAATCTTTTTTTAAGAGTTTACCTTAGGAGGAAAGGTACCAAATCTCAGATTTATTTCAAACACTTATGAGAACAATGTATCATAGGGATCACAGTAACTTCATATATCATAGACTCATAGTTTTTAGTAAAATAGTGGATTTTAGAATAATTGCTCAATAAAAGACATAAAAAAAGATGAGTGTTGGGATTTGTGTCCATGGCTTTTTACCTAGTCATCAGGTCAGTCACTTTTTAAAATTATAATAAAGGACACAAGGTAAAATTTAGTATTTTAACTATTTTTATATGTAGAGTTCAATGATAAAAGTACTCTCACATTGTGGTATAACCATTGCCATGATTATCTCCAGAACTTTTTTTTATCTTGTAAAACTAAAGTAATTACTCTCATCACTCTTCTAGCCAGCCCCTGCAAACCACCAGTCTACTTTCTGTCTTTGTGAATTTGACTACTTATAAGTGGTCATTACTTATATAAGTGGAATCATATAATATTTGTCATTTTGTGACTTATTTCCATGAGCATAATGTCTTCAAGGTTCATCCATGTTGCAGCATGTATGGAATATCCTCCCAGGTTTTAAAAAAATTATGTAATTTATTTTTGAGAGAGAGAGAGCGAGAGCGAGAGCGAGAGCAAGAGTGAGAGATAGACACTGAGTAGACCTTTCCCAATCTATTGGTCATTGATTCATTCCACAAATTCCTACAACGGCCAGGGCTGGGCCATGCCAAAGCCAGGAACTCAATGTGGGGGCTCCCATGTAGGTGGCAGGGACCCAGGTGCTTGAGCCAAAACCTGCTATCTCCCAGGGTATGTATTAGGAAGTAGCTGGAATAGCAGCAGAATTGGGGCTCGAACCCAGGTACTCTGGTGTGGGATGCAGATATCTCAAGTGGTGTCTTCATCACTATGCCAAATGCCTGCCCTATCCTTCATTTTAAGGCTGAATGATATCAATTATATGATTGTACTACTATCCATTGCTCCTTGATAGACACTTAGATTGCTTCTACCTTTTGTTTATTATGAATAATGTTTACATCAATATGTGTCCAACAAGTGTGTTTAAGTTTCTGCTTTCAGTTCTTCTGGGTGTATACCCACAAGTGGAATTTCTGGGTCTACGTTTTATAAACATATATATAAAATACCAGTAAATAAACTTTATTTATAGATATGAAATATATGCTTAGTTAATTTATGTAATGCTAAGCCAAGTGTGTGTAAATGAATACCTAAAGTCAAGTACTAATGTAGAATGAAATGAATTTTCATTTATTTCCAAAAAGAAAAGCTATATATATATATATTTTTATATATATATATGTATTTATATATATATATAAAAATACACAACAGCTCACTATTGTTTAGGTCAAGGAATTGATTGAGATTATTAAAGGCAATAGATAAATTAATGTGAGTAATAAATGTCCTAGTCAGTATATATATATTTATGTTTAATAAAACATAAGTGCCATAATGCTTTCTACAGTGAATGCATCATTTTACATCCCTGCTAGGGCACATGGATTCTTTAGTCCATTGCCTTGCCAACCCTTGTTATTTTTTTTTAATTTTTATTTTTTTATTATTTGACAGGCAGAATTAGACAGTGAGAGAGAAAGAGAGAGACAGAAAAGGGCTTCCTTCCATTGGTTCAGCCCCCAAATGGCCGCTATGGCCGGTGCTGTGCCTATCTGAAGCCAGGAGCAAGGTGCCTCCTCCTTGTCTCCCATGCAGGTGCAGGGCCCCAAGCACCTGGGCTATCCTCCACTGCCTTCCTGGGCCACAGCAGAGAGCTGGACTGGAAGAGGAGCAACTGGGACTAGAACCCGGCATCCATATGGGATGCCGGCGCCGCAGGCAGAGGATTAACCAAGTGAACCGCGGCGCCGGCAGTTTTTTTGATTATTGACAACTTAATGAGATGAAATGTATCTCTTTGATTTGCATTTCTCTCATGGTAATCAATATTGCTTGTTTTTTCAAGACTTATCAACTATTTGTGTATTCTTGGAGAAATGTCTATTCAAATCTTTTGCCATTTTTGAATTGGGTTATGTTTTTGTTGTTGAGTGGAAGGAATTTTTTATATATTATAACATTATTCCTCTATCAAATACATGGTTTGCTAGTATTTTCTCCTATGGTTTTTTTTTTTTTTTTTTTTTTTTTTTTTTTTTTTTTACCTCTGTAGCTGTTTTTGTGTCAGTGCCATGCCATTTTGATTACAATAGCTTACAATAGCTTTGTAGTATGCTTTGAAGTCAGGTATTGTGAGGCCTCCATCTTGATTTTTTCTTGCTCAGGATCACTTTGGCTATTTTGGGTCTTTTGTAATTCCATGTGAAATTTAGGATTGCTTTTTCTAATTCTGTAGGGAATATCATTGGTATTTTTTTTAGGGGTTGCATTGAATCTGTAGATTGCTTTTGGTAGTGTAGACATTTTAATGATATTGATTCTTCCAATTCATGAGCAAGGACTATCTTTCCATTTTTTGTGTCCTTTATGATTTCTTTCATCAATGTTCAATAATTTTCATTGTAGAGATCTTTCACTTCTTTGGTTAAATTTGTTCATAAATATTTGATTTTTTTGATGGCTGTTGTGATTACAATTTCTTGATTTCTCTTTCTATGAGTTCATCATTAGCATACACAAAAGCTGCTATTGTTTGTATGTTTGTTTTGTGACTTGCAATTTTACTGAATTGGCTTATTGATTCTAACAGCTTTTTGGTGAAGTGTTTAGGTTTTTCCATGTACAACATAAGTCATCTGCAAACATGGATAATTTGACTTCCTCTTTTCCAATTTTGATACGCTTTCTTTCTTTCTCCTCCTTAACTGGCTCTTGCTAAAACTTCTAATTCTGTATTGAATAAGAGTGGCGAAAGTGGACATCCTTGTCTTGTTCCAGATCTGAGGGGAAATGCTTTCAGCTTTCTCCCATTCAGTGTGAAATTGTCTATTGTTTTGTGATATATAGCCTTTATAATTTTGAGGAGTGTTCCTTCTATATCTAATTTGTGGAAGGTTTTTAACATGAAATGGGTGTTGAATCTTATCAAATGCTTTCTCTGCTTCCATTTAGATGACCAATTATTCTATTGATGTGATTTATGATATTTATTGAATTGCGAATATTGACCCACCTTTGCATTTCTGGTCCTGTCGTCTATCAGTTTTAGTCTGTTGATAGCGTCTTTTTTTTTTTGTATTGTTTTGTTTCTGTTTAAGATTTTATTTATTTCTTTGAAAGTCTGAATTACACACATAGATGGAGAGGCAGAGAGAGAGAGAGAGAGAGAGAGAGAGAGAGAGAGAGAGAGAGAGAGAAATACCAGGTAATACCAGGTAAACTTTAGGTTTGAGTTTTCTTTTTCTGAAAAGTTTTGTTGAGATTTTGAAAGGAATTACATTTGTATCAGTCATTTTTATATACTCCTGGGACTCTTGAATTTAGCATAATTAAAATTACAGGCCATTTCACTGGTTTTTATTTTGAATGAACCATGATTCATGTATTTTTTGATCTGTGGCTAGGCCTTTCAAATCACAATTTATGAATTTTCTGTGCTTATGTAAAACAGTTTGGAAAATACAGGAACAGTATAAAGAACAAACTTCCAGTCTTTTTATGCATGTATATGCTTTAAAATCAAATAGTAATCTCTTATATACTTGTGTATGTGTGCATATATATACATACAAATATGCATATGTTTCTTAGACTTATTTTAGTTTTATATTTTAGTTTAATTTTAGTGTTTTATATTTCTTTTTTGTAAAGCTGTATTGAGATATAATTGGTATACTTTACAATTCACTAATTTAAGGAATATAATTCAGAGATTTTTAGTATGTTCAGTAGTATATAACTATTGTAGATTTTTGTAAGATCTCAGAGTTGTGTGATCAATTTAATTTCGTCATTTATAAAGCAACTTTGTATTCTTTAACTGTTGCTCCAAGCCTCCTCTCAGTCTTAAGCAATCACAAATCTGTTTTTTGTCTCTATAGATATGTCTTTTCTGAGTATTTTATATGACTGAAAATCATACACTATTGACTTGGGATTGGCATATTTCACTTAGCATACTGTTTTAAGGTATAACGTGTATTAGTATTTCATGGCTGAATAACTCTCATTGGATGCCATCATATAGATATTCTGCATTTTGGTTATTTATCAGTTAATAGATATTTGGAACCTTTACACCTTTTGGCCAATATGAACATTTTTATAAAGCTTTTGTGAGGGCACTTTTTTTTTTTTCTTAGTTATATACTTAGGAGTCGAATTGCTTGGTCAAATGGCAATGCTGTGTAAATTTTCTGAATATATACAAGATTGTTTTCCAAAGTGGTTATATCATTTACATTCCCACCAAATCTATGAAGACTACTACTTCTGTACATCCTTGTCAACACTTATTAGTATCTTTTTTATGGTAGTTATTTTAGTGGTATGAAACGGTATCTCACTATGGTTTTGGTTTTTATTTTTCTGTTTACTGATACTGTTGAGCACTTTTTAATGTAGTTTTTGTAGAAATTTCTGTTCAAGTCCTGCCCATTCCAAAATAAGGTTATTTGTCTTAATGGCTGAATTGTAAGAGTTCTTTATATATTCTAAATAGTTGACTCTTAGCAGATATGTATCCTGCAAATATTTTATACCATTTTGTGTGCTGTTTCACTTTATTAATAGTATATTTTGAAGTGTTGAAGGTTTTTTTTTTAATTTTAATGAGGTTTATATTTTTAAATTTTTTTCACTGCTTGTGATTTTGGTGTCATATCTAACAATAGATTGCCAAATCCCGGATCATAGAATTTACCCCCCTCCTCTTTTTTTTCATTTGAGAGCTTTATAGTTTTGGTTCTTACATTTAATTCTTCCATCTATTTTGAGCTTTGTGTATAGTATACAGTAAAGGTTCAACTTTATTCTTTTGCAAGTGGTTATTAAATTTTTTGTACACTCTTGTTGTAGGGATTGCTTTTCCCTATTGAATGTCTTGGCACTTGTCAAAAATCAGTTGACGAATGGCTTTATTCTTGACTTCCAGTTCTATTCTATTGGTTTTGTCAGTAGTGTACCATCTTGATTAGTTTTGTTAGGAGTAAGTTTTCCGGAAATGTGATTCCTCCATTTTTGGGCTTTGTGATTTTATCCTGATGTTGTTTGTTGACAAGATTGTTCTGATATTCTATCTGCCTTGCAGTTCCATATAATTTTGGAATAAACTTGTTACTTTTTACAAGGAAGCCAGTTGGGATTCTGATAGGGATTGTGTTGAATCTCTAGATGTGGAGAGTATTATAATCTTAATATTGTTTTCTGACCCATACACATGGAATATTTCTGCATTTATTTATACCTTTAACTTTTTTGGGTTGTTCATTCTTAAGTGTACAGAAATATAATTTAATTTATTTAAGTAGATCTTATATCCTGCAATATTGCTGAATTGATTAGATGTAATTGACTTTTTTGGGACTACTTAGTATATTCTCTGCACAAAATTGTGTTATCTGCCAGGAGGGTCAGTTTTCTTGTACCTATCCAATTCCAGTCATCCTTTTCAAAGCCTGTATTAGTTTTTGCCTGTTTTCTCTAGCTACAGCCTTCAGTATTATGTTGAGTAGAAGTGGCAGAAATGAGCATCCTTATATCATTCCTGACCTTAGGGGAAAGCATCCTTTAGCACATTGGAGAAGTTCCCCTCTATTCCTTGATTTCTGAAATAGTGATGATTTATGTCAATTTATTATAATCCTATGGGATTAAGATTATTTGTATAATTTATAAGTGCTATTAAGATTTACCAAAGATGAATTAATGTTTGTAGTGTTTTCCTATAACCAAGAGAAATTAAAATTAAAAATGTACATGCTGCATGAATATCATCTGCCTTTTTGGTGAATAGTGCTTGACAAAAACAGTAAATGATGTGAATAGCACAAAGTAGTACAAGTTAGGATGGTGGAATGCAAACATAACAACTAGAGACTCAGATTGTTCAAATATTGAAAAGATTGTTATGAGTGATTAATCAACAACCTAGTTTGTAATTTTTTTCTGTTATATGGAGAAGGAAATTATTTGTTATAGAACTACTGCACACTTAAATTTTTAAGTTTTTGATTATAATACTGCATATTCTATTCTCATAATAGTGGTTCATTATTATCTTCCTATAGGATAATTAAAAATATGGGTGATTGTATAATGTAGCCACTTTGAATAAAATGTTTTCAAGTAAAATTTGAAAGCATAGGTATTTCCCCTCTTTTTAGTATATAAATTTAGTTTTCATTATTCTTGTATTTCCTGATCTTTTACAAATAAGAACTATGCCTTATGCATGTTGTGAACATTGACCAAAATTATATGTTGAAATATATCACTTATTTTAAATTAATACGTATTGCTAAGAAACAACTATTTTGTCTATTAATACATGTATTTTAATTTACAGGAAAACATCTTTATGTATGGAGGCAGAATTGAAACAAATGATGGCAATGTCACAGATGAATTATGGGTTTTTAACATAAATAGTCAGTCATGGAGTACAAAAACTCCTACTGTTCTTGGACATGGTCAGCAGTATGCTGTGGAGGGACATTCAGCACATATTATGGAGTTGGATAGTAGAGATGTTGTCATGATCATAATATTTGGATATTCTGCAATATATGGTTACACAAGCAGCATACAGGAATACCATATCTGTGAGTTTCTTTACATATGTAATTTCTTCATTCTTTGAGAATATTTTTATCTTTAATAAAATCTCCATATGAATTTAGTCAAAGTGATAAGTTATTTGAGATCAGAATTTTAAGCCAATAATTAATAATTTTAACATAAGGTTTTTTTGATTAATTTAGATCTTATTTATTAATACGTAAGTTTATTTTCTTAGCCAAATGAGGGAAAATATTATAGACTAATCTTATTTCCCAGGATTTGAGAATATTTTTAAATATGAGAAATTCCAATAGATGGTGCTATTTCCTTGGATTTTACCTATGAACCAGGAGCTGAAACTAATACAGTCTCTTTACTATGCATTCCATGATTTTGAGGTTTTTTTGTTTTTCAGTTTTCTATTCCTGATGTTATTGCTGTATTTTTATGTATATATTACTGCTTTAAAGTAAACTTCCTGTCAGCTTTTATAAGAGATTATTATCTGGTGTGTGAAGGTGACTAGGGCAATCTACACAGACTTTCTGTACTATATTCTTCCTTTTTTTTGGTTTGTTTTTCTAGTGCTTTTTTTTTAAAAATTCTTTATGACATTTTCAAAAGTTGGTGACTTAAAAAAACTGTTTTAAACTTGCCTACAAATAAATACTTTGTGGTTACTATTTAGATTCAAGAACACACTCCATTTCTGGCTCTGGCCAGTATTATAAACTTAAGTTCTGGGCTCATTTATGTGTAGACAACTTTATAGACAACTATTTAGAGCATGCAGTTTTTTGTCTTTTTAAGTTTTTATTTAAGGTATACAAATTTCATGTATTTCATATACACAGGTTTAGGAACATAGTGACACTTCCCACCCTCCCACCTTCCCACCTGTCTTCCTTCTCCCTCTCCTATTCCCACTCTTAATCTTTACAAAGATCTGTTTTCAGTTTACTTTATACTCATAAAATTAACTGTACACTGAGTTCAACAAATAGTACGAAAAAGAAGAACACTGTTCCTCAACAGTAGAGACAAGGACTGTAAATGAGCATGCAGTCCTAATAAGAAAATTCATTTGCAGACCACTGTTAGCAACAGTAAGAGAGTATTTGTGTGCTCAGAGGAAGACTGCCTTTGTAAGTCCTTCGCTGTTTCCCATATGCACCTCTAGTGAAGCTGTTTTCATTTCTATGTCCTTACAATGTCTGGACTGAAATGGATACATGTGTTCTGGTTTCTGCCATTTCCTGTCTTAATCCTTCCTCCTCTAAATCTGCCTTTGAGACTTATCTCCAGACTACACCACCTATCATTTTGTTTCTCAGGTTGCTTTATTTCTTGGAGAATTTAGCATCTGATTTACTGTCACTCTGCCCAGCAAATATTTATCAGCTTTGTTTACTTTTCAGTTTGATAGGCAGAGAGACAGACAGGGAGGGAGGGAGGAAGGTGTGGATGGGTGAAAGAAGGGAAGGAGAGAGGGAGAAGGAGAAAGAGCAGAAGGGAGGAGGGAGGAGAGCAGGGAGAGGAGGGAGAGACTGAGAAGGAGAGAGAAAGTGCTAGCATCTGTCCCCAAATTCCTGCAATGGCTGGGACTGGGCTAAGACTGGTTCCAGGAGCTAAGAACCCAAGTACTTCAACAATTACCACTGCTTCCAAGGGTCTGAATTAGTGAAAAGCTGGAGCCAGGCCTCAGACCCAGGCACTCCACTACAGGACATGGGCATCTTAACCCCTAGCCAGACACCTGTTCCAATAAAAAATTTTTATGACTTTATTATTTACCTTAATACTTCTTTCAATATGTGACCTCTTAATTTTTGATGTCTCTACCGAAGATCTTATTTTCCATTCTACTTGAGCTAATCTCTCCCATTGCTGTACTCTTTACCTTGTCATTCTAGTACCTATGGTGGGTCCTATAATTTCTATTTCAATTTATCTTATTCTTCAAGTACCACTGATCTTTGTAGCTCATTCATTGATTTATTCTTTCTTTGAATAACTGATTTATTTATTTAAAAGGCAAAATGACAGACTGAGAGGACAGACAGACAGATCTTCTATATTCTGGCTTACTCCACAGATGGTTGGGGCTGGGCCAGGTTACAGCCAGGGTCCAGGGACTGCATTTGGGTCTCCCATGTGGGTGGCAGGGCCTGAAGTACTTGAATCATCCTCTACTGCTTTTCCCAAGTGCTTTAGCAAGAAGCAGGATGAGAAGCAGAGAAACCAGGACTAAGAGGAGCACCTAATGTGGATGACATTGTTACAAGTGCCTGCTTAACCCCTGTACCACACACTGCACACCTGCACTCCTAGTACTCACACTTTAGTTTAACAGTCTGACCCTATCAGAGCCTTTAGTCCATTGGGCTAAATGTCCGTTTCCCCACTCTCTCATTCTGTCAAGCCTGTGCTTCTAACCATATTTAGCTTTAAGTTCATAACCACTGGTCTCAAGATAGCCCTTAATGATGTCTGGAACATACTCAGCTTTCATACTCATTAATCTCTGATTAGCGCTTGATGATGTCTGGAATTCCTGTCAGTTTAGTTTGATCTTTTCCCAGATCTCCTGGATGACTGTTTCATATATTTTCCTCTCTCCTTAAATTTCTATCACTTTATTCTTTGTCATCATTTTCAGCTGATGACTTGACTTCTTATTTTACTGAGAAAATATAAGTAATTACAAGAGAACTTTTGGTGGGAACTTGTTGAGCTGTAATGGTTAATAAGCAGTGCTACACTGAATAAATGTCCATACATATTGTCATAACAAACTAATTATAACAGTGAAGTAAATGTGGCTGGTTTTTCCTATGGGCCCAGGAGTTGTTTAAGCAATAGTAATGCAATCTTTATGTAGAAGGATTGTTTATGTTTCCAGATTTTTGTAATTTATTTTTGGGTTCATTACAGTGTTGAGAGAATTGTAGATATTCTTTGTACTTTTTGTAACTCATTGAAAGTTTCATTGTGGCCCTGTTTTCATAAATATTCTGTGGCTACATAAAAAAACAGATTAATAACATTAAGATAGAGTTCATTATTTACATCTATCAGATCTACTTTATTGGTTAAATTCAGGGCTTCATAAGTTATGTTTTTGTACTTGACATATCTTTTTCTGAAAGTTGAAGTCTTAAAATGTTTATTTCTGCCATTGCTCCTTGTATATTTTGGAATTTGTGCTTTATGGGAATTGCTTTTATGGATATTAATAACTAATGTATTTATTGTGATTGAATTCTTTAATGCTATAAAATCATTTATTTCTTTATTCTTTGATCTGAATGCTAGGTGGTATGATTATTAATATTATGGCCCCTAGTTTTTTTTTTTCCTTTCTGTCAGTCTTTTCCTGGTATACCTTTGCCCATTCTTTTTTTTTTTTTTTTTTTTTTTTTTTTTGTGACAGGCAGAGTGGACAGTGAGAGAGAGAGAGAGACAGAGAGAAAGGTCTTCCTTTGCCGTTGGTTCACCCTCCAATGGCCGCCACAGCTGGCGCGCTGCAGCCGGCGCACCGCGCTGATCCGATGGCAGGAGAGCCAGGAGCCAGGTGCTTTTCCTGGTCTCCCATGGGGTGCAGGGCCCAAGCACCTGGGCCATCCTCCACTGCACTCCCGGGCCACAGCAGAGAGCTGGCCTGGAAGAGGGGCAACCGGGACAGAATCCGGTGCCCCAACCGGGACTAGAACCCGGTGCCCCAACCGGGACTAGAACCTGGTGTGCCGGCGCCGCTAGGCGGAGGATTAGCTTAGTGATCCGCGGCGCCGGCCTGCCCATTCATTATTATTGCCATTTACTGTTTCAAAATCTATCTCTTCTGTAGAGTATAGAATCAGATTTTGCTTAGGGTTCCCACCTGAGTTTTGTACATGTCCTGTACATATTTTGTGTTTTTTACACTCTGTTGTCTTTTTCTTTTTGCAGTTCTTATGCTTAGATGTGTGTGTGTATGTGTGTGTGTGTGTGTGTGTGTGTGTGTGTGTGAATGGTGTGGTAATTTTGGTATCTGTCACCATTTCTCCATGTTCATTGCCTGTTGTCTGTCTTTCTGTACTTCTATGGCTTCTTCTTTTTAGCTTTTGGTTTCATTTCTTTTTTGTACATTTATAACTAATCTGGATTGTGTATGATTCCTTTTTTCTTTGCTTCCTATTTTCTCCCATTTTCTCTTTCTTTTTTTAGTTTATCTTTCCCAAGAGGAATAGGAAGATTCAGAACTAAACTGTTATCATGTTTATCATACTGGCAATGTAGGCTTTGACTTTTGAAGTTTTATTTACCAGTTACTGGTTTTACTAATTTTATTTTAAATACAAATTATATTAGTATTATTTTAAATGAGGGGTCAGCAAAGTTGTCTATAAATGACCACCTGAATTTGTGGGTCATTGCTAATTCGCTCTGCTATTGTAGTATGAAAGCAGCCATTGACAGTGTATACACAAATGGGCATGGCTGTCTTCCAGTACAACTTTATTTATAAAAACAAGTGGTGAGCCAGATTTAGCCTTTGGGTCTTTGCCTGCCCTTATTCCAGAGAGAGGCTGTGTGCTTTGGGGGCCCTAGAAACCCTCTCCCAATTTTTGTTAAAATTTGATATGCAGTTTAATTTGACATGTGGTTTTTCTGGATATTGTATTTAAGGAGAATTCATGCCCCAGAGTGGCATAATACTGTATGGCCAAAAGTTCCCAAGGGTAGCAGTTTTTTCCTCCATGTGGAGCCAAGACTGAAACAGATGAATGATTCTGTTTCCTTCTGCAGAGTAGATTTAACAAAAAACCCTCACTTTTTCATTGAAGGTAAACTTCAAGGAGTCTGAATTTATGGAGAAGTTTTCTGATTAGTATCCACATGAGTCCTCCTTCAATGCTGGTCATTAAAACTGAATCTCTATGCTACCTAATTAACATATGCCTTCATTTACACTTCACAGCATGTATTTCATGCTTTTCATTTGTCCCTTTAATGATAGCCTCATTGGTCCATGAGGCATAGGTGGTCATTGTGCTTTCCT